TATAAAAAGACATCAGAATTGAAAATTAAATATTATACGTAAACTGGCCTTAGAAATTCATCTATTAGTATGACAGCAATTCATTCCGCATACAAGCAATATTCAACACAATTTTAACGAGTTTATGAATAATCATTCATGTCAGAGATAACTGAATACTAAGTACACTAAATCACATATTTCTTCAGCTTATACACTTCATCCCTCTACGGTGACCTCTATACACACACATACACACAGTATTCATATGGCATAATAATGACAACTATAACAACAGTGAACATTGTACTTGTCTTCTGTTACAACCAATTCTTCATAATGAATCATATATTTCAATATAGTGTATTTGACAAGTTAGAATGATATATAGGAACTCAGTCTTTTAATGAAGTCGGTAAAAAGTCTGGACTGTATATTGAGCTCTATCTCTCTCTCCCTCTGTCTCACTCTTCTTCGATCTACTGGGATACTCGTTCCTGTTTTTCTGTAACTAAAGTGAGAAGTCTCGGTTTTCAGTCAGTAACACCATATATACATAAACACAGAATTGCATACTTCTACAAACAGTGATTGCAGTCATGTTATCTAGTCCCGGCCAAATTCCACCAGTCAAATTATCCATGGTACACAGATTAAGACATTCGGCCAAATCAGTACTGTTTCGGTTGGTAATTAAAGAAATTGAACACGAGAACTCTGGACTGTGGTTCTCCTCAAACTCATGGGAAATAATGCCACCTTGTAGGTTTGCAACACAGTCACGTGAAATGGAATGTACTATTCTCTGTACATAATAGTGCGAACTTGTAAGACAATAAATAATGTTCTAACATGGATAATTTACACTTCAGTTCAAGGATAAACTATTTTCAGTGACATGTAAAACTAAAATCATCTTACATCATGTAGAAATTAAATTGAATTACAAAACAACATCACCGAGTTAACAATAAGAATAACAGAAAGTTGGAACTACATCAAACAAACAATCAATCATGCGCTGTCGTGAATAATAAACTACGCTAGGTTCTAGAAATAAATTGAAAACGTTGATCAATAAGTCGTCAGCCTAAAGAGTTGACCTTGGATTTCCAATTAGCGTGTGTGTAGAAGAGAATTCCAATGCAGTACTTAGAAAGTTAATCAATGATTGTTGAGTTTCATACGTTCTCATTTAATATAATTAATAATAATAATCACAACAGCTCTATTGTGCACAAAATATTAGCACACAGTACAGAATTCTCACAGTAATCGATCGCGAAATATCCACTTCACATGTGCAACCTTCAAGTAAAATATTCATCGACAGCGTATCATGTGACACAACATACTCCTACAAGCAATTACGTCAACTTATTGCTTTGTAAATTCATGAAAGTCTTCACTCATCCTATATTATCACAGCTCTTCATTTCATTTTGCCTTAAAAATTAGTGCTTCAAAAGTGTGAAATAGTCAGCGAATAAGTGTCAAAGAATCTAGGTTCGACAAAAGTTGGAAGACGCTTGTAAAACTAGCATTTCCGTCAGTCCGACGAAACGTAGATTCCCTTTGTGTCTTGAGAATGCATTAATTATATGGTGATTAAATCAGATACGATAGCACTAATGTATTATTCATGTGTATACTTGGCCCATTGTATAACTGTGTCATGTATACAGCTATTCGGGCTAAAGTTTATTGATCAAACAAAATATATCAGCTATTCACTGTAATCGGTTAGCTCAACCAACAGCATGTTGTAGCTCTCAACCAACATTATTTGCTACTAGAAGATAGTCTCAGATAGACGACAGTGTAACTTACTGGATGAAGAATAATATCAAAACATACATTCTGACACTAGCTGGAAAGTACCAGGAAACCGAAGATAATTTGAAATGACTGCATCTTCCTTCCAGTAAACTCACATGACATTCATACACCAGAGATAATTAATTCCCATATCGATTTCTCCATGTTCTGTGACCCTGAAGCACTACCAGGTTAATTGTAGAGACCGTCAGTGGTCAATGATGCAGAAGGATAAGAAATACATTGACAGTAATTTTAGAATATAGACGATTCTCCTCAAGCCCATTCGGTAAGCACTTACAGACCTTGAAATATTGGTTTCAGGATAGAAAAATGCTGTGAGTGAGCAGTCACCTACAAACTAGGAGGAAAATCCTCTTTTCGACGACTTCATTTTCACAGATATACAATCGCCACGACTTTGTGCACAAAACCAATTTGTAGGATCTCTTTCGTTACCATGGTCTTCAGTTTACTATGTAATTCGCATAAAAACTTTGTCATCCTTTTCAATTCCAAGTTATGTTATCATATTCTAACATTTTATCTAGTCTTCTATTTTGACAACATTTCACTCATCTTATTTCGTCATCATATTTTATTCACACATTCACATTTCCGAATGAACTTTATTTCCCGATCATTTATTTTATCCATGTCTATTGAACTTTAGGCTGACCTCTATTTATTTATTTGGTTATTGATTCATAAATCTAATCAATTGTGACTCATAATCATATACACCAATATTATTATAGCCCTTTAGTATTTCCTCTCACTCTTAAACTCTGCCACTCACACACAAACACACACAAGAAGACTGATGTTTATTGTGTATTAAAAACAGTTAAAACAATTAATCCCTATGATAAGTCTGAATGAGTCATTCAGAAGTCAAATTTCACGAGATGATATCCTTTCGTAGTTTTGTTTCTATCCTGTATAAACGTTCCCTAGTGAAATGTTTCTTCTCAAGAACCCGCAAAATATGCATGAGCAATAACATTGATGGATGAGCTGCGACACATACATTCAGTTTTATTAGCTAGTGGTTATCCAGAAAACGTTATCAATTGTCACACTTAGGATAGACCACATCTTGAAAAAACACCTTCTACGCGAGAGAAAGCTATCCTCATTAACCTACCATTCAAGAGTGATCAAATTATGCAGTTGACAGCTCAAAGACTTCGGTCACCCATCAAACACACATTCTACACTGTATCTCATTCCCTCAATTCTCGAACATTTATGTATATATATCTATATATATATATATATATATATATATATATATATATATATATATATATATATATATATAAATTCATGTTCATAAATTTGAATAATGTGATTAGAAGACGGAGATTATCTGAAAAATGTGATGTATTTGCGCTATACATTTCAAACAATCAGGTCACACATTTCTTGTCAAGCCAATTTATGTGAAAAAAATCAAAGGCAATTTGTGTACTTTGCACAAAGTGACGAAAAACAAGTTTAGAACAATAAGAATAATTAACATTACATTTGGTTATCCAACCAGATGAGCATTAACAAGGTAGGTTAAAAGTAATAATAAATTGTTATTGAACACAATGGGGGAAGGGGATGGCTTAAATATATGGATATTTATAGCCTCAGTACATTTCCATAGGCGCCCTTGACCTTTTTTATAGATGACCCTAAAAGCTGTGTTCATATCAATCTCATGGGTCATGTCGGTTAGATGTTCGGCTATAGACGAAGTTGGTAGTGCACTACCTGCCTCCGTTGATTTTCCAAAGTTGATCTTTCTTTCTAACCATTTCGGAATATGCCCTCCCCCTCACATGCAAAGCGCGATTACTCTCCCCTGTAGTTGTGTCCACACCTACACCTAAATTGGTAAATAGTGTGGGATGTGACACAATCACCTGTGCAATTTTGAGGTTTGCAGTAGAGCATATATTTGGCTTTTTCAATGATTACAAGTCGGGCTGCATAATAGGTCCTACAGATGACAGAATTTAATCTCTGTCTCAAAACCCTATTATTCATTTCTCCGTTGTATGGTAATTTGATGAAGACATCTTTCTTAGTGGCAGAATAGGTTGTAGGTTTTAAGACTAATTTACTTCTACACCTGTCTAAAATGTTTAAAGGATATCCGTTTTCAACAAGAGTATCCGTCAATATTTCATTTTCCTTCTCTATAACATCAGTTGTACAAATACGCTGAATCCTCTTAAATAAACATTTCACCAAGCCTCTCTTACACTGTAGTAGATAGAAGTTGTGCAAGCTTAAGTATTGCCCTATCCAAGTAGGCTTTCTATAAATTGATCGTCCTATTGAAGCATCATCTCTTCGACTCAGAAGTACGTCCATATATATATATACGATCGTACAGGTATGAAAGTGAAATCGTTGGAAAGCGAGATTTTCTTCGCGGAATTCCTTGTATTTATGTCTTAGTGGGGATTATTAATTTAAAACCAGGAGGAATTAAGTGTCCAGTACTGCTCGGTTCCGCCATCAATATCCTATCAAAGCCATTCGATTCAACGTTTCTGGGAAATAGTTTTTAAAGTGGTTTAGTACTTTTACATTAAAAAGGTTTTAATTTATGTCTTTCAGTAATAATAATAATAATATTTTTAATGAGACTTTTGTGGATTTCAAAAATAACCAATAAATAAATCTACTAGTTCTGAATAGCCTCGAAAGAAATTGACCGGTGTCCGTATGATTACGAAATGTGTGATCCTCACTAATGATGGTATATTTTAGTGACACGATTCTATCCTTATTTCATTTAATTTGGGTCTCGTCCTTGAATGTACCCGCAATTCCTAATGATTATTGAAGTTCCTACTGAGACTGTATTCTACTGCTCACCTTTTAAGCTCTAAAGCGTTACCCATTAGTCCATCCTGGCTAAGGGAGTCACACTTTGTGCAACGACAATTTTATATATTGTTTGCTTTAAAGTCATTTTCAATTTTAGTCTTGATTATTTGGACCGAAATATCCCTTCTTTTGACATGCAGGTATATCAAGATGTCATGTCTTAATTAGGATGAAAATCTCATCACCGATTCCACTGCCAATCAGTATCCACCAAATCTCTTCATGTTAATCATCTGATGTCTTCGAATGTGTTATATATATATATATATATATATATATATATATATATATATGATGTCATGATTATCAATAGGAAATTAAAACTAAAAAGTGCCCTTCTAACAGTGCAACATCAGATGACCATTATTTTCCATAGTGAATCCATGAATCAATATACCTTTCATGAAACACGTTTTGCCACCCATTATATGTGTGCAAGCAAACACACGCTCGCGTTGGTCAGTACATCATGCGTCAAACTGTAACATATCAGTAGTTCATCCAGATAACGCAACCAATCGGAATAAGTGACCTTCAAAAAAGGTCAATTGTTGTTAATAAATAAACAAAGACAAATACAAGTGTGCCTGCCAAAATGACTACACAAATGAATGGAACAAAATCAGATGTACCACATTTTAATTTAACAATTAACGGGATTGATGATTATAAAACTATTTATCAGCTAATATTATTACTATTTCCAGAATATGAACAAAAGTATATTGTTACAAAGGTAGGTAGAGATGACATTGACTACAACTCATTATAATGTAAAAATTGTAGATACTGAACAATGGCTTCTCAAATACACTACTTAAAATTGACTATAATCAGCCAGATTCTTGTACTACTCCTTCTCATTCACAAAACACGACAACTTCATTTCTTATAAGCATTCATGGTGACTTGACAAGTAGTCTAATAGATCGAAGTAATGAAATTAAATATATGAAAACAGTAAAACACCTTGAAAATTATCGAAAGATGTATGGCTTATTTAATAATGGTTCGGTGTATTCATTTATACAAGGCTGTGATATTTCGTCAGAAAATCTATCCAATATAAAGTATAGCAGGTAAGTTAAAATATATATTTTTGTTTGTTTAAATGTGTTTATTTGATAATGCTGTAAATTCAATGAAGCGAATGTCCTTGACTTAGGCTTTGCAACTGATAACAGTTATTATCAAAAATAAACATGTTTGTAAAGCTGAGTAAATGGTGTTCCTTTGGAGGTTCACACATTTTGTTTAACTGCATCCCACAGTTGGAAATTTTATCGATGAGTTGAAGGCACAACTGACTGACATGAATTTTGTTCAGTGTCGTCATCTAGGTATAAGTTAATTCCTATTTATTGAGTGAAATAACAGATTTTTAGTCTAACAGTATTTATTTACATGACAGAAAACCCACACATTCAAACAGATACTTGGACTTCTGATCATCCCATCCTATATCAGTAAAAATAGGATTGGTAAAATGTTTAAGTAACAGAGCACAAAAGCTAAGTAGTACTAAGGAAAATCTAAGACAAGAAATGATACACATAAAAGAATCCTTGAAACTTAATAATTATGCGGATAAACTAGTCAGGAAATACGTAAGGAAATCTAAAAATAAATAATGACAGTAGCGATAGTGATAATAATAATAATAACACTAATAATGATGATGATAATAATAATAGTGATAATAATAATATTAACGACGACACCAACAATAAGGAATCTGAATCATCAACAGTAATTCCATACAAGGAAGGAACCTCGGAAGCCTCACGCAGAATTCTTAACAAGGCAGGAATAAAAGTGGCATTCAAACCCACAAACTCAATTAGAAACTAGCTTTGTCGGTTAAAGGATCCTGTGGAGCCTCTAAAACAAAACAATTAAATTTATCTAATACCCTGTCGGAATGATTGTCAGGTCAAATACATAGGTCACACTAGTAGAACAGGGCAGTCAGACTATCTGAATATAAAACTTAGCAAAATCTAGATTGGTTGACCCAAATAAGATAAGAAATCTAGAGAATAGTTCAGCTATAGCAATACATGCAGTCACAGACAACCATACAATAGGATGGGATAGGATGACAGTTTTCAAATCTAATGTCACAGGGTGGAAGGAGAGATTGACAACAGAAGCTTTGTTTATCGAATCAACTGCAAATACATGTAACGGGAATAATTCAACACCTGTCCCAGATATCTGGAAAATTCCACTAACCCTACGACGACAAATAGGAGAAGACAAAGAAAACTATAAAACTCAAGTTTCGAAGTCGTGTGATTAAAATTGATATGATTATGAACAATAAATTTTGTACGAAACGTCAGCCAGTAAATAATACTGCTTCACTGTATGATATATCTAATGAACAATCTAATGGGAAAAGAGTACCGATTTAGGAATTCGAATCGTGTCACTAAAATATACCATCATTAGTGAGGATCACACATTTCGTAATCATACGGACACCGGTCAATTTCTTTCGAGGCTATTCAGAACTAGTAGATTTATTTATTGGTTATTTTTGAAATCCACAAAAGTCTCATTAAAAATATTATTATTATTATTACTGAAAGACATAAATTAAAACCTTTTTAATGTAAAAGTACTAAACCACTTTAAAAACTATTTCCCAGAAACGTTGAATCGAATGGCTTTGATAGGATATTGATGGCGGAACCGAGCAGTACTGGACACTTAATTCCTCCTGGTTTTAAATTAATAATCCCCACTAAGACATAAATACAAGGAATTCCGCGAAGAAAATCTCGCTTTCCAACGATTTCACTTTCATACCTGTACGATCGTATATATATATATATATATATATGTATATATATGGACGTACTTCTGAGTCGAAGAGATGATGCTTCAATAGGACGATCAATTTATAGAAAGCCTACTTGGATAGGGCAATACTTAAGCTTGCACAACTTCTATCTACTACAGTGTAAGAGAGGCTTGGTGAAATGTTTATTTAAGAGGATTCAGCGTATTTGTACAACTGATGTTATAGAGAAGGAAAATGAAATATTGACGGATACTCTTGTTGAAAACGGATATCCTTTAAACATTTTAGACAGGTGTAGAAGTAAATTAGTCTTAAAACCTACAACCTATTCTGCCACTAAGAAAGATGTCTTCATCAAATTACCATACAACGGAGAAATGAATAATAGGGTTTTGAGACAGAGATTAAATTCTGTCATCTGTAGGACCTATTATGCAGCCCGACTTGTAATCATTGAAAAAGCCAAATATATGCTCTACTGCAAACCTCAAAATTGCACAGGTGATTGTGTCACATCCCACACTATTTACCAATTTAGGTGTAGGTGTGGACACAACTACAGGGGAGAGTAATCGCGCTTTGCATGTGAGGGGGAGGGCATATTCCGAAATGGTTAGAAAGAAAGATCAACTTTGGAAAATCAACGGAGGCAGGTAGTGCACTACCAACTTCGTCTATAGCCGAACATCTAACCGACATGACCCATGAGATTGATATGAACACAGCTTTTAGGGTCATCTATAAAAAAGGTCAAGGGCGCCTATGGAAATGTACTGAGGCTATAAATATCCATATATTTAAGCCATCCCCTTCCCCCATTGTGTTCAATAACAATTTATTATTACTTTTAACCTACCTTGTTAATGCTCATCTGGTTGGATAACCAAATGTAATGTTAATTATTCTTATTGTTCTAAACTTGTTTTTCGTCACTTTGTGCAAAGTACACAAATTGCCTTTGATTTTTTTCACATAAATTGGCTTGACAAGAAATGTGTGACCTGATTGTTTGAAATGTATAGCGCAAATACATCACATTTTTCAGATAATCTCCGTCTTCTAATCACATTATTCAAATTTATGAACATGAATTTATATATATATATATATATATATATATATATATATATATATATATATATATATATATATATACATAAATGTTCGAGAATTGAGGGAATGAGATACAGTGTAGAATGTGTGTTTGATGGGTGACCGAAGTCTTTGAGCTGTCAACTGCATAATTTGATCACTCTTGAATGGTAGGTTAATGAGGATAGCTTTCTCTCGCGTAGAAGGTGTTTTTTCAAGATGTGGTCTATCCTAAGTGTGACAATTGATAACGTTTTCTGGATAACCACTAGCTAATAAAACTGAATGTATGTGTCGCAGCTCATCCATCAATGTTATTGCTCATGCATATTTTGCGGGTTCTTGAGAAGAAACATTTCACTAGGGAACGTTTATACAGGATAGAAACAAAACTACGAAAGGATATCATCTCGTGAAATTTGACTTCTGAATGACTCATTCAGACTTATCATAGGGATTAATTGTTTTAACTGTTTTTAATACACAATAAACATCAGTCTTCTTGTGTGTGTTTGTGTGTGAGTGGCAGAGTTTAAGAGTGAGAGGAAATACTAAAGGGCTATAATAATATTGGTGTATATGATTATGAGTCACAATTGATTAGATTTATGAATCAATAACCAAATAAATAAATAGAGGTCAGCCTAAAGTTCAATAGACATGGATAAAATAAATGATCGGGAAATAAAGTTCATTCGGAAATGTGAATGTGTGAATAAAATATGATGACGAAATAAGATGAGTGAAATGTTGTCAAAATAGAAGACTAGATAAAATGTTAGAATATGATAACATAACTTGGAATTGAAAAGGATGACAAAGTTTTTATGCGAATTACATAGTAAACTGAAGACCATGGTAACGAAAGAGATCCTACAAATTGGTTTTGTGCACAAAGTCGTGGCGATTGTATATCTGTGAAAATGAAGTCGTCGAAAAGAGGATTTTCCTCCTAGTTTGTAGGTGACTGCTCACTCACAGCATTTTTCTATCCTGAAACCAATATTTCAAGGTCTGTAAGTGCTTACCGAATGGGCTTGAGGAGAATCGTCTATATTCTAAAACTACTGTCAATGTATTTCTTATCCTTCTGCATCATTGACCACTGACGGTCTCTACACTTAACCTGGTAGTGCTTCAGGGTCACAGAACATGGAGAAATCGATATGGGAATTAATTATCTCTGGTGTATGAATGTCATGTGAGTTTACTGGAAGGAAGATGCAGTCATTTCAAATTATCTTCGGTTTCCTGGTACTTTCCAGCTAGTGTCAGAATGTATGTTTTGATATTATTCTTCATCCAGTAAGTTACACTGTCGTCTATCTGAGACTATCTTCTAGTAGCAAATAATGTTGGTTGAGAGCTACAACATGCTGTTGGTTGAGCTAACCGATTACAGTGAATAGCTGATATATTTTGTTTGATCAATAAACTTTAGCCCGAATAGCTGTATACATGACACAGTTATACAATGGGCCAAGTATACACATGAATAATACATTAGTGCTATCGTATCTGATTTAATCACCATATAATTAATGCATTCTCAAAACACAAAGGGAATCTACGTTTCGTCGGACTGACGGAAATGCTAGTTTTACAAGCGTCTTCCAACTTTTGTCGAACCTAGATTCTTTGACACTTATTCGCTGACTATTTCACACTTTTGAAGCACTAATTTTTAAGGCAAAATGAAATGAAGAGCTGTTGATAATATAGGATGAGTGAAGACTTTCATGAATTTACAAAGCAATAAGTTGACGTAATTGCTTGTAGGAGTATGTTGTGTCACATGATACGCTGTCGATGAATATTTTACTTGAAGGTTGCACATGTGAAGTGGATATTTCGCGATCGATTACTGTGAGAATTCTGTACTGTGTGCTAATATTTTGTGCACAATAGAGCTGTTGTGATTATTATTATTAATTATATTAAATGAGGACGTATGAAATTCAACAATCATTGATTAACTTTCTAAGTACTGCATTGGAATTCTCTTCTACACACACGCTAATTGGAAATCCAAGGCCAACTCTTTAGGCTGATGATTTATTGATCAACGTTTTCAATTTATTTCTAGAACCTAGCGTAGTTTATTATTCACGACAGCGCATGATTGATTGTTTGTTTGATGTAGTTCCAACTTTCTGTTATTCTTATTGTTAACTCGGT